TTTTATTTAAGAAAGGACTTGTGTCGCTAAAGTTTCGTCGGAACGAATTTAGCGGAAAATTAACTAGCGAACGGAGACGTAACAATACAAATAAATTCATTAATTATTAAATTTTACACTGTTTGTGTTCAAAAATGAAATTTATTAACTTTTAGTTAAACATTTATTCACTCTTTAAGGTATATAAAGAATTTTCTCTTTTTTTTTTTTACTTAGATATTTGATGATTTCAGACATTTCAAAAAAAGTTAGAATTAATTTTCTTCAATGTATTTATTCTACACAGAGTATACTCTATGTCATAGATTTGAGGAATATAGTCAAATAAACAGTTCTTGTGTAGGACACATGGACAGCTTTTGCCACTGACCGATGTATTCATGGATTCCCACCCATTAGATGATACCTCAATTTTCTTACCAAGGCTGGGATAGGACTTGTTTCAGGTCTCTTTCTGGATGGTCCGGATTTCCTAAATTGATTCATATTCATTTGTTTCCAATGTGATTAAGTACAAAGGATATCCCTAATTTGTAAACTAAGTTCCTAATCTTAACACATCTATGTGATCTGAGTGAATGAATATTTTGTATCAGAAAGGGTTGTTATATATCCTTCCTAAAAGTGATCAATTTGTAGTGGCATCACACTACGTATAAAACACCAAACAATATCAAAATGTAATAGTGATACGAGTAATTTCCCCATACCTGTATATTGTTTTATTATAATATACTTCAGTCCTGTAATATGCATTCAGAGAAAAAGTTCTTGTCTTGTCATACACAGAGTTTAGAAGTTACAGAGTGTTATTTCAAGAGTTTCTCAGTTATTTTGTTTTGATATTATATGTATCTAATGGGTGCTGTAGTTATTGTGAATTTACTGATAAATTTTATAGAAATTAGAGCCTAAATTTCAAGAGTTAAATTTGATTTCTTTATCCTTTCATTGTTTTAGAAATTTAGTGGGAGTATCTAATATTTGGAAACTTAAAGGAAATAATGTTGTTTTGTATTTTAAAGGTGGGAAGAAGAAAAACATGAAGGGAGTATAAAATGGAAAACTCTACAGCACAATGGTCCAGTCCTTGCACCCCTGTATGAGCCATTACCAAAATCTGTCAAGTTTTACTACGATGGTAAGTGGTCTTATCCAACTAAATCTCATGAGCAATTTTTTTTTATTTATTTTGTACTTGTTCACCAATTTACCAGTAGAGAACCTTAAGAACTTAAAAAGTATTCAAAAAGTGAAAATATGTTAACTGTACATGCATGGATGGAGGTCAAAGCGTACATGTCATTACCTTTTATAGAATGTCTTTCAACATGGTATTTATGACAGAGTTGTCAACTATTCATTTTACCAATTCTTGTTGATTTAGTTGTAGTTTATGGTAAAGAAAAGTAAATACTAGATACAGTATACAGGGATACTGAAAAAAACTGTAGATATGCAATTTAAAAGGAGGGTTTACCGGTTATGTAAATGCAATATGCAAACTGTACTATAGACAAAAGTATTTTTATTCTTCGCATGAACATCACCTTGCAACACAGTAAATGAATATTGAGTATATAAATAATAATGTTGTGTCATCGAGGTCACGTGACTGGTGTGGCGCCACCTTTTTTCTAGAACTATCCTGTACCTTGGCGAATGCTCTAGTATTTACTAGATATAGGGTAGTCTGGTATATAAAAGAGGGTGACAACGTGACGGAATAATAATAATGTGTGTGTAGGTAATGAGTAATTGAACTGCGGTCAGAGAGAGACGTATTGTTGAAGTTAACGTTCGTTCGTTATAGTGTTTGTTATAGCGCACTGTTGAA